CAAAGAAACATCCACATTACATATTAACAATTAGTGCAAACTATTAGCCTAGTATAGAGCATTTTCACTCATGTGGTCAGCGCCCATGGAAATTTATTGGAACAAAAGGAAGTGTTTACATAAGAAAAGAGTTCAACTCCCACAGGAATGGTTCCAGCCTTTGTAAAGAGATGGCTGCTATAGGACGTGAACACTCACTGCACCTGTTGTTAATTTCTGAACATCTCAGTCAATTGATCTGTAAGTTGCATTTCTCCTTTAAAGTACATAAATAAAGAAAAAAACATAAATGACCTTTATTTACCCTTGGCAGTGTTTATTGTACAAAGGCTGGTGGGGCCAAGCAAATAACTGAAACAAATAATTCAAATTCAACATAGCATTGTTAAGAATTCTTACAGCCTGGAGGAAAACCAGTTGGCTATTTACAAGTGTGGCCAAGGATCTGAACTCGTGGCTACCGTGAAACAAATCCAGGTAATGGTCAAAGCAGGACTTGAACCCGGGACTGTTGGACTGCAAGTCTGACATGCTGACCACTCAGCCACACTGCCTCCACTTATGCTGACCAATCCTTGGATTTATTAGATTTATTGTCACTTAGCCTACTTAGCCAATATCTCCACAAAAAAGCAACATCCAAAGCCATTATAAAATAGGCCCCTCACCTTTCCTCCACCAACACCAAGTCCATTGTTATTTAACCTCAGTGTTTTTAATGAGTAGCAAGCCTGACTTGTGAGAAGTTTTACACAGGCTTTCACTCCATCAGGACCAAATGCATTGTCACTAAGATCCAGCTCAGCAAGCTTTGCATTTGCTGCAATGACACCATCACTCAGGTGCCCCTAGAGTAGAAAAAATAACAGGAGCTGTTAAATAAGAACAGCAAAATCTGTTTACTTACGTTATTACGTTATCATTTATTACAGTTTAAGGAAGCAAAGAAAATCAATCTTCTAGTTTGCATAGCTGCAACTATGATGTAGAATGTCCTAGCCTGAAAGGCATTCTTACTTACCCCTACTAAATTTATTATAAACATGATTAATTCATTTGAAATTAAACTAATACGATCATTTAATCTCTTATGGTATTTCTTTCATCCTTGTTTTTTTCCTGAAAATAATAACCCACAGCTCCAGGCTATCAGACGAGACTTTCTTTGCATGCTGCAAACCTTTGAAGTCAATATGCCATTTCCGACTTGCTTATCTCTGTTTCAAAACAAGTCCTGGTACAGAACCTTTCATATGGAAATGAGTTTGATTTGCAAGACAACAGACATGCAAGAAAATCTCATATCCATACGAAAGGTTGGGTACCAAGACTTGTTTTGCAACAGAGGTAAAAGCAACTTGGAAATGGCTTACTGGTATTAAACTAATTGCAAGTGATGTCTGATTCCAGTGTCAAAGGTACAAGAAAGCTTTGAGCTGCATAGGTAGATATCTTTGAATTGCAGGCATCAAGACAAGATAATACAGCAGAACAAAATTTCTAAAAGCTAATGACTTGAATAGATCAAAAGTCAATCACACTGTTAACGGTAATGTTGTAAATCGTGTATACAATGATTCTTCTCTGTTTGAGATCAAACAATGAAATTTACAGAAACTGTCAAA